AAAAAAAAAAAAAAAAAAACAGCCCCCAGTGCTGCCTCACTTAAGGGAAGAGGAGGGCAGCAGCTTGGGTGGGGAAGGAGCGAGCCACCGCCACAGGACACATCGCAGCCTCTCGCAAGCCCACAGGAGGGCGGGGCCGACGGGAGCCAGTTCCTGGAACCCGCCCCCCCCCTTAATGGATCAACTGAGTGCATGACTGGTCAGAGAAAAATGCCCCACCCCTGCCAGTCCTCAGGGAGGGCAGGTTAAGGTCTCCAGGCTAGGGTTGGAGGTGGGGGGAGGCCCCCGGAACCCTGGACCTCCCACGCTCCACTCAGCCACCCCCTCTGCCCTCACTGCATTCCCGCCAGGGCCGGCGTGGGGCCTGGGATCCCAGGCAGGGGCCAGGGCTCTGCCCCCGTCCGTTCCTGCCCGCAGGCTTCCAAAGGAGCCAACTGGTTTCGAGTCAGGCGGATCCTATCTTGGTCCTGGCTTAAGTGTGTGACCCTGGGCACATCTACCTCTCTGAGCCTCCGCTTCCTACTTTGTGAAAATGGGATGAATGTCATACGGTTGTTGTGAGATCACAAAATATCAAGGATCGGGCACAGGGCTTCAGTGGGCAGCAGTGTGCCCTTCTGCACCCAGGCGGATGCCCCGGGCCTTCCAGCCACTGCGTGCTCTGCTGTCCCCACAGGGCCCTCCTCAGCTCCTGTCACTGTCCTTTCTGGCGCCCTTTGCTTTGTCCAGTCAGCGATGCGCTTGTTCCTCACCCCCCGTGCCCAGCACCCTGCACGCCAGCTTCTTGCACCATGAGTTGCTACTTGAGGGTGCTGGCCATCCCCATGGCCATCTTTCTCCCTTGCTCCCCATGAAGGAGAGCCAGTCTCCTCCCAGGTGGCACATTGGAGCTGGCAGTCCCCAGAGCTCTTCTCTCTTGTGGCCAGAAAATGGGGAAAGTGAGGCCCAGAGAGGGGCAGAGGCTGACCCATGGTCACACAGCCTATTCATGGTTGATTTGGGGCTAACAGCCATGTCCTCCAACTGCCACTCATCAGAGCCCCTGGATCTTGACCATTTCACCCCACGTGGGGTATTGGGGATAGAGTTGGGGGCCACCTCCCACCCTGACCAGCATAACGGAAGAGACTACTTCCTGACCACAGGCTGTGGGGAAGGAAAACACCCAGCGAGGGCCATGCCCCAGGTCCCAGGTGTGGCATGAACGTCCACTACTCTGCTGGTGTGGCAGTGGTGGTTGGGGCCTTCAGTGCAGATGCCTGAGGACGTGGCTGCACTGTCCCTTCCAGTCGAGGGGCACAGTCCAGGGATGTGCCCTTGGGCCCCGGCAGAGGAGAGAGCAGCAAGAGCAGGTCCTGACAGCCCTGATAACAGAGCCCAGAGGGGGCGTCAGTTCCTGCTCTTTCCTGCTCTGTTTACTCACAAGCCGAACAGGTGGGGCAGAGGGCGAATGCCAAGGTGGCACGAGGCTGGGCATGTGCCTGGCCTCAGACAGTGGGTGAAGAGTTTCAGGCACCTGGAGGTGCTGCTCTTGAGTTCCCCAGTCCCCACCAGGGTGTCCTGATCCCTTTAGAAGCTGACCTCCGACCTGGGGGCAGCCAGAGTCCAGGTACCCCAGCCCCCGCCGTGGGCCCAGAGGCCTGGATCAGCAAGCCTTGGCTCTGCTTATAGCATCTGACGCCAGAGGGCCCGAAAATAGCCCCTGGAGGACGGGGGAAGGGTCTATTTAAAGGGCCTGGGAGGAGCAGAGCTGAGAGCAGTGAGGAGTGATCATGGCCTCTTCAGAGCTGAGCTGCCAGGTGACCGAGGAGAACTGCGAGCGCAGAGAGGCCTTCTGGGCTCAATGGAAGGATCTGACACTGTCCACACGGCCTGAGGAGGGGTGAGTGTGGGTCAGCTGGGGGTCTCACCTCTGCTCCCCCAGAGCAGCCTCCCTGAGCCATATGAGCCCAGAGCACAAAACCCTGGAGAAGTTGCAGGGGCTGGGGGCAGAAGAGTGCCCCTGGGGCGAGCAAAGTGAAGCCACCCTCCTGCCCCCAGGTCCTGACAGCCCCAGGGAGCCCCCCCATCCGGCCTGTGACTGCAGAGCAGCAGCTCTCAGCAGCTCACCGCCCCTCCCCTCTCCTTGCCAGCTGCTCCCTGCATGAGGAGGATGCCCAGCGGCATGAGACCTACCACCAGCAAGGGCAGTGCCAGGCGCTGGTGCAGCATTCCCCCTGGCTGGTGATGCGATTGGGCATCCTTGGCCGGGGGCTGCAGGAGTACCAGCTGCCCTACCAGCGGGCGCTGCCGCTGCCCATCTTCACCCCCACCAAGTTGGGTGCCGCCAAGGAGGAGCACAATGACACCCCCATCCAACTGCAGGAGCTGCTGGCGCTGGAGACGGCCCTGGGTGGCCAGTGTGTGGAACGCCAGGATGTGGCCGAGATCACCAAGCAGCTGCCCCCTGTGGTGCCAGTCAGCAAGCCTGGTGCCCTTCGTCGCTCCCTGTCTCGCTCCATGTCCCAGGAAGCACAGAGAGGCTGAGGGGCTGCAGGAGTCCCAGCTGCCCTACCAGCGGGCGCTGCCGCTGCCCATCTTCACCCCCACCAAGTTGGGTGCCGCCAAGGAGGAGCACAATGACACCCCCATCCAACTGCAGGAGCTGCTGGCGCTGGAGACGGCCCTGGGTGGCCAGTGTGTGGAACGCCAGGATGTGGCCGAGATCACCAAGCAGCTGCCCCCTGTGGTGCCAGTCAGCAAGCCTGGTGCCCTTCGTCGCTCCCTGTCTCGCTCCATGTCCCAGGAAGCACAGAGAGGCTGAGAGCGACTGTGACTCGGGCTCCACTGTGCCCGCCCTGGGCTGCGCCCTTCCTGGCTAGGACCATGGAGGGGAGCTGCTGGCCGTGGATGCTTTGTAGTTTACCCGGAGTTGGGGGCTAAGAGAGGAGGGAGCCAGAGACCAGGATGCCTAGGTCCCCTGAGTTCCCAAAGGGAGGGGGGCAAAGATGGTGGGCACTAAGGGTGGAGAGCTGGGGGTCCACAGCTGAGTACCCCTAGCCCCAGGAGAAGGGACGGAAGATGCTGGTGAGGGCATGAGGTTGCTGACAGGTTTCAGCTTCAGAGAAGGACCAGGAAAAGCATGAGGGGATCTGGAGTGCTCTGGAGAAGACGGAGCGAGGGGAGTGAAGAGGGCAGAGGCAGGGTGGGCCCCCAGCACCCTCTGTTAGCACTGCAATAGATGCTCAGTCATGTTCCAGAGTCTCGTCTCGTCTCTTTCTTTGTGCTGTGGGGCCGTCCCATTGGTGTTCCCCACATGCCCACTTCTGGGAACAGGCCCTGCATCTGAGCTAAATATGGCAGAGCTAGTGGGTACATCCCATGCTTAGGGAGGCAGGGACAGAGCTGTAAACAGGGTGCTGTCTGTCCAGTCCCCTTCCTGTACCCTGTCTCTGCTGCCCAGTCTTAGCTTCCGTGTCCAGCCCCCTGGCACTGGGCAGTGCCCAGCAGGCCAGCTGGCATCCAGGGTTTGCTTAAATAACATGTCATAGAGAACACGGAGGGAGCTGGTACACAGGCTGTCCTTAGCTGTGCCTCAGGGTGTGGATGGACTCATTGACCCCAAACCTCTCAGTTCTGAATCCAGAAGGAATCAGTCTTTGCCGGGGTCAGGCACCCCACCCTCCCTGCCCTGGGAACCCAGGATGGGTGGGTGGGGGGGATGGCGATGGGGTTGGGGGTCAGGTTCCTGTCTGTGACCCCTGCAGCTGTTGCGGTGACTCATGGCCCAACAAGGAGACTGCCTCCTTGAGACAAGGGGGGGGACGTAAGGGGGTTAGGGGACGATCTTGGCAAGGGCAGGTAGCTTACCCATGGCAGAGGGTCCCACTTCGGGAAGGCCATGGAGATGCTGAGGACAGAATTGGCTTTCTATTTGCGGGGATAGAAGGGGAGACCCTGGTGCCTTTTATTTATCATTATTATTGGTTATATATATTCATGGGGCAAGAGCTGACCGTCAGCACCTGTGCCCAAGATGTGGTGAGCAAATCAATGCTATCAGCACGCTCACCACCTCAAATTGCAAATTTTCCCTGTGTCCCCCCACCCAACCTCTCCCCAATGCCCCGACCCAGGCATCTTGACAGTCGGGCACCTGGAGCGCCAAGCAGGACCTGCACAGCCGGCCTGATCTGCTCCCCCAGTGGGGGGCTGGAGTGCAGGCTGGGAGGGGAGAGGGGTCAGAGACCACAGACCCACGGGACTCCAAATCCGCCGGCGCCCCACGACCCGGACGGCGCCCCCTGGTGGCCCCGGTGGCCTGGAGAATGGGCCCAGCACCCTCCGCCCTCACCTGGGTCCGGGGCCCCGGACCTGGCGGAAACGTCCCGAACCTTCCGCCCTCGGCAGCACCCAGATAAGCTTCTTGGAGCCCGCGGGGGCGGCCCGGCGGCTGTGCCTGCTGAGCGCCTCGGCCCCGCTCCGCTATCGTGGCTGCCATCGAACAGGCGGGCCCGAGCCTGGCTCTGGGGCCCCGGGGCGACCGCGGGGGAGGCCGGAACGGACTGTCCTTTCTGGAGTGGGCGGGGGTGGGACAGGCAGGGACGAAGCAGAGGCCTGGAGGAGGGCGGGGAAGGGGAGCTGGGGTGACACGACTAAGGAAGGGGCGGGTGTCGGAGGACGGGGAGCGCGGCCGGGGTCTGAGACCTGGAGGGGAGGGCGCTGCGCGGTGGGGACCGGCGAGGGCGGCTGTTGGGACCTCGGGAAGCAGACGGGCGGGGCCGGGGCGCCGGGCGCGGGGGCAGCTGCTGTGCCC